ATGTTCCCCAGGTTGCGTAACTGTCATCAATCTCTATTTTTAGATGAAGAGAAAGAAAACACATATTCAATAACGGTCAGTCCTGCTTACATTTTCTTTCCCTCGACACTCCAATCCAACCTGAGGCAATCGCTATTTATTGCTCAACTTCACAGAATTGCCTATTCTGAACACTTCATAAAGCTGGAATTAGACAACATGTGATCTCTTGTGTGTAGCTTTTCTCTTTCAGTATGATGTTTTCAATGTTCGTTTTGTAATTTCTATCCATATTTCTTTTTTATTTTAAAGAAAACAATAAAAATAATACAGAATTTCAAAATAAGATGATAGGAAATTATCAGTGGTTATTATATTGCATGTTGTTATCTTTAAAGTAGTTGCTTAGATTACCAGATATAGGCATGCAGGATTGAACAAACAATATATATTCCCTCTTTCGTTCTGTTCTTTTTTGTTTCATCCCAGTTGTTCTTTCCTTTTGAGCAGTTTCTTTCCTTTTCACGATTTCTATTGTACCTTTTGGCTCTTTACTCTTTCAATTTCTTACACTAGGGAAACAATATGATGCTTACACATGCAAGTCTGATTTACTTGACTTATGAGTATGCTGTCAAGTTCTATCCATTTTCCTATAAAAGCCTCTATTTTATCTTTCTTGATAGCTGAGTAGTACTCCATTGTATAAAAATACCACATTTTTAAAATCCATTCCTCAGTTGGTGGGCATTTGGGTTATTTCCAAGACTTAGCTATTACAAATTATGCTGCTTTAAACATGGGTGTACATACATCACTGTAGTATGATGGTTTAAATTTTGCTACTGAGCAATATTTCATTGTGTAAGTTTATCACATTTTGTTTACCTATTCACTAGATGATATTTAACTTATGTTTACTTTTTTGGCTCTTATGAATAGTGTGAGTTGTTATAAAGATTCCTGTCCCAGTTTTTGTGGGGATGTATTTTCATTCTCTTGGGTATATAGATGTGGAATGGCTGAGTCATATGGTAACTCTGGGATTGAACATTTAAGGAATTGTCAAATTGTTTTTCAGAATGTCTTCATTGTTTTCCATTCTAAGTAAAAATGTGTGAGTGTTCCAATTTCTCCACATCACTTATTGTGTTTTTGATTATAGCCATCGAAGTGGGGATGAAATGGAATGACATGGTGGTTTCAATTTATATCTTCTTAATGACTAATGGCATCAAACATCTTTTGCTTTTGCATGTGCTTTTTGGACACTTAAGTGACTTTTTTTTTTTTTCCCGAGGAAATGTCTACTTAACATTTTGTTCATCTTTAAATTGGGGTATTTATTATTTAACTATAAGAGTTCTTATGTATTCTGGATACATCTAAAAGCACCTTATTAGATATATAATTTGCAAATCTTTCCTTGTTTTCTTGTCTTTTCACATTCTTAGTACTACCCCATGAGGCACAAAAGTTTGATATGGTCCAGTTTATTTATTTCCTGTTCTGTTACTTAGGCGTCTGTTATTTTATCTACAAAATCATTGTTTAGCCTAAGGTCGTGAAGAACGACTTTTCTGGTTTTCTCCAGTTTTAATTCATATTTACATCTGTGATCAATTTTGAGTAAATTTTTGTGTACGGTGTGAGGTAAGGGTTTAACTTTATTCTTTTTCATGAGACTACTAAGCAGTTCCAGCATCATTTGTTGAAAAAGCTTCTTCCTCCCACAGAAGGTTATTGTCAACCTAAGCAAAAATTAGTTGACCAAAGACATGGGGATTAATTTCTGGACTCTCTGGTTTATGCCATTGATCCTCACATATACACTTTTTCCAGTATTACATGTCTCGATCAGTGTATCTTTGTAGAGTTTTGGAGAGGAATTGCGAATCTTCCAACTTTTTTCTTTCTTTTCAAAATTGTTTTGGCTATTTAGGATCACTTAACATTTCATATGTATCTGAATATTGGTCTTTCTATTTTTACAAAGAAACCAGCTGAGACTTTAATAGGAATTGTGTTGAATTTGTAGGTTAGTTTAGGGAATGTGACCAATATAATATTAAATCTTCTAGTCCTTGAACATGGGATATCTTTCTAGTTATTTAGTTCTCCTTTAATTTTCAAACAATATTTTGTAGTTTTTAGTTACATTTTTACCTTTTGTTGTTATGTTTATAACTATTTTATTTTTTGATGCCATTGCAAAGGTAATTATTTTCTTAGTTTTTCTGAATTTTATTTTCAGAGTGTTCAGGACTGTACATAGACATATAATTGCTTTCAGTACAATGATCTTGAAATTTACATTTATTCTTTTTTTTCCCCCAATACCAGGGGTTGAACCCAAGGCTAGGCAAGCACTTTACTTCTGAGCCACATCCTCAGCCTTCTTTACTAGTTCTAATTGTTTAAAAATGAATATTTAGGATTTTTTTATACACAAACTCATATCATCTGTACATTTATATAGTTACTATTTCTTTCACAATCTGGATATCTTTCCTTCCTATGCTTCGTGCATAACAGCTCTTACTAGAACAACTAGTGCAATGTTAAATAGGAGTGGTAAAGGCAGATATCTGTCTTTTTCTTGGTCTCTGGGAGAAAACATTAAATCAACAATGAGTGTGTCATTAACTGTGGAATTTTCATAGATTACCTCTATCAGGTTGAGGAAGTCCTCTACTATTCCGAGTTTACTGAGTGTTTTTATCATAAAAAAGCATTGGATTTTTGCCCAAAGTTTTTTCACATGGTTTTATTCTGTTTTTATATTATACTGTATTTCTTAGAATAATTCCCGCATACTTATGGTATATTACCTTTTAAAAATTTGCCATTGGATTTAATTTGTCGATATTTTGTCGAGGGTTTTCATGTTTGTATTCATAAATTATATTGGTCTGTAGCTTTCTTTGTGATGCCTTTTTATTTTGATATTGTTATAATACCTTCCTCATGGAATGATTTGGAAAGTTTTTCCTCTTCTGTTTTTTTTGGAAAGGTTTGATGCCAGTTCTTTGAATGTTTGATAGAATTTACAGTGAAATAGTTTGGCTTAGGATTTTTTTGTGGAAAAAGTTTTAGTTACCAATGTAATATTTTTATTTGTCATGAATCTATTTGAATTTCTTACTTTCTTTTTGCATCATCTTTAATCATTTGTTTTTCTTCTAACTAATTTGTTGACACAGTTTTTCATAGCATTTCTTTAATATCAATAGTTGATATAATCTCTATCATTCTAGTGTTTTTCTTTCTTGGTTAGTATATAAAACTTGTTAGTTTTGTTGATTGTCACTTCTTGATTTAATTGATTTCCTCTATTGATTTGCTATTCTTATTTCATTTAATTTCAGTGTAGTCATCATTCTCTCTCTTTTGCCTGTATTTGCTATACTTTTTCCAGTTCTTTAAAGTAAACATTTATGTTATTGATTTGAGCTTACCCTTTTTTAAAAAATAGATGTTTGTAGCTATAATTTTCCCTTTGACCACTGCTTTTCCTGTATCCCACAACTTTTAGTATGTTGTATTTTTGTTTTTACTCATCTCAGAGTATTTTCTACTTTTTCCAGTGATTTCTTTTTCCACATGTTGATTACTTAGGAACAATATTAATTTTACAAACTTGTGAATTCCTTAAATTTCTTCTGTTACTGACTTCTGGTTTAATTTCATTGTAATTTGAAAACACTGTATTATTTCAATTCCTTTTAAATTTATTGAGATTTATTTTATGGTCTGTCATATGATTTAGCCTAGCATTTTCCATGTGTACTTGAGAAGAATGCTTATTCTATTGTTGTTGGATAGAATGTTCTATAGAAGTCTGTTAGCTCTAGTTGGTTTATAGTATTGTTCCCCATTTTCTTGTGAATCTTCTATCTAGCTCTTTTATTAGCCATTGAAAATGTGGTGTGGAAGTCTCAAAGTTGTATATTCCTCTCTTCAGTTCAGTAGTTTTTGCTTCATTTGTTTTGAAGTGTGATTGTTAGGTGTGTGTATGGTCATAATTCTTACATCTTTCAGGTGAGGGGATTGATCCTTTATAATTTTGAAAGTCTACCATTATTTGTAGAGCTTTTTTGTTTTTGTTTAAAATCTATTTTGTCTGGTATAGGTATAGGTGTAGCAACTTCAATTCTCTTTTATTTCCTGTTTTCATGGAATGTCATTTTTTGTTCTTTTACTTTCAACTTATTTGTAATAAGGGGACAGTTCTTATCACACCACTTAACATGAGGCATTCCAGATACACTAGTATCATTATCATTCTTAATTTCTTTCTGATTAACTATGGCTTTTCTGAAGTTCTGTATTGTTACATAAATACATCATCATAAAAATGAAAGGCAGGTAAGCATTATTTTCTAGGCTGCAATATTTCTTAGAGCCATAAACATGTAAAAATTTCTTAGAAGTGCTAACATCCAATCAAGATGAAGCTGAGGCTTTTTACCCAATTATTGGTATTGTTTTTCCATGAAAATTTGGAACTCTACTACCACACTGTGATATTACCTGAATTGAGTGCTGGTCTAGAAATCCAGGTCTTCTTTGTGCACTTTAAGCATCAAGTGCGATTATAAATTCTTACTCCAGTGTGCCTAGCATCCCTTCCCATCCTCCCCCTCCGTGCATGGCTCTGGAAAGGAAATAATCTGTAACATGAGGAGTGCTGGAATATTCTGGTCAGAAGCTGACCCTTAAACCACTGTTCCTCTATTTTCCCAGACAAAAGAGATTAAATTAGAACTGGATAGGAGCATTTCTGGGTCACGGGGTTGAACCACTTTTCATCTTTGTAAGTCCAAAGGATTTAACTGGATTCTCCCCTTTGTAGCCTTCTCTGCCAACATCCTGACCTTTATAGCTTCCCAACCTTATGGAGATTTTCCTGTATGTTTTCTTTATGACGACATGATAGGGCCGGTTTGTCAATGGGGAAAACCCCGAGTGAGAACACGCCTTCTTGTGTACATTCCCAAAACTTGGCTTAAATAGGACCATCCTGCGCTGCTGTGAGAGCAGAACAGCTCTCGCAGGGCACCGAGTACTCAGAACTGAGCAGACCTGTTCTTTGAGCTGAAAATGATGTGCGATAGCAAGCGTTTGTTCCTGGTTGCTTTGGTGTCGGTGCTTCTACTCTACTTCTGCAGCCAGTCACAAGGTAAGTGCTGCTCTTTCTGTGGCAGAGGAGGCAGGAACGGTTTTTACTTTTCCTCTAAGTCTTGAGCTCATGTGGTGTCCCTAAGGAACCGAAACCTTTTAGGAAGTATACAGGAGGGAGTGACGAAGATTGTCAGCTCTTTCAGGAGTGGAGAAGAGCAGGGTTACTGCTGCCAAGCAGGCTTCCTCTAGGTTGCCAGTCTCAACAGATCTGGGGAGTGGTGAGCTTTCTGAAGTCCCTGAACTTCAGGGCAGGGTCAAAGTGCTGTTTCTAGGAGTAATGAGAATTGCATGACTTTACTAGTACATAAGGTCCTGAAATGTGGGAAACACTTCCATTTCTTCAGCCTTTTCACTCCTCAGCTCAATAGTGTTAGTGAAGTTCAAAACATGTCCTTTAGAAACAGATTATGACACCTGACTTCACTATTCTTAACGGGCCTCAAGGATAGGGCTTGTTAACTTTGAGCTAACACTTATTCCTTAGTTTACGACAGGTTATAGTTTAACTCAGAGGAATGTCCAAGTATTGCTTTATTACTAAGGATACATCACGGAGGCTGGGGATTTAACTCAGCGGCACGGCACCTGCCCGGCAAGCTCGAGGTCATGAGTTCGATTCCTGATACTGGGAAAAAACAAAAACAAAAAAGAAAACCCAAAAAATACTAAGGATACATCACTTTTAGCAACAGGTACATGCTTGAAAATGCAAATGTTGAACTTGCATGAACAAAACTGAAAATGATCATTAAATAATATTGCAGTTGCAAAGTACATCAGCTGTAGCTCCTGAAAAAGCAGATTTTCCTTTGTAATCCTACCTTTTAATATTCAGAAAGGTAGTAGATTAAAACCTCCCTATTTACTAATTTTTAGAATTTGGAAGGTTTATCTATCGGGTTCTTATTTTTTCAAGTAACATGGGGAGAGGTGCTCATATTCTTGAGTGAGTATATGAACTGAAATAAACATCATCAGTTTGTATTTCTTACTAAAGATATTGTACTACTGAGAAGTCATGCATTTTTAAAACTGTGTTGTTGCACCCAAACTTCCCAGTACACCACTTTAAAAAAAAAAAGAACTGGAAACATGTTGAATTTGATCTCAAAGACGAGGACAGGTTTCAAAGAAATTAAAACTCTTCCATGAAAGAGACTCTTTAGCATATAAACTGGAGTCATTAGCTGCTTCACAGCTTGACACAGCTCTAGAATACCAATCACAGCAGCTCATTCCTGTGACTCAACACTTCCCATTTCTCTTTTAGCAGCAAGCAGCTTCGACTGTTGCCTCGGATATACACGACATGTGCTTAGCATCAAATATATTCGGAACTTCACAGAGCAGCTGGCCAGTGAAATCTGCGACATCAACGCTATCATGTAAGTTATTAGCTAAATATATGGGAATTTTATGTATAATTTTTTGGAGTATTATTTAGAAATAACCTACATGAGAAGATAGCTTGTTTGACTACTAAATAGCTACTACAAGGTTCCCTTTAAATAATACTGAAATAAAGCAAAAGCTTTATTGTTTGAAGAAAGCAATATAATAAGAGTGGAAATCACTTTCTAAGATGATCTTACAGGCTATTAAAATACTCTCAGGAATATACAGAAGGCATGTTTTGAAATGACCATCTTTTATCAAAAATGGTTGGAATTGTAAGTAAAATCTCAGGCTAATTATACTGTCACATATAGTATTCTCTACTTGCATTGAGTACTATACTTTAGAGTGATATGTTATTGATCAGATAAATAATTTATTTCTTATAAACCACTGCAGCAAAATTAAATAGCAATTCTGGGACTTTATGTTTCTGCCACTGTAAAATCATTTGTGACACTGCAGGTAAAGTCAAGGAAAATCGCCTTCATTATGCATCAAGATGTACTGTCAGCACTTTTGTTTTTGTTTTACTTCATTAGTTGAAAGGTTTAGTATGTAGAGCAATCAACTGGAACATGAAATTTCCATTGTGTATTCTGTGAGAAAGCATGTAAAACTTGTTAAATACATATCGTATTTTCTGACATTTCAGCTTTCACACACACAAGCGACTGTCTGTGTGCGCAGACCCCAAGAAGCCGTGGGTGAAAAAAATTATGCGCTTTCTCAGGTATGGATCGCTGACCGGTAGAGACAGACGCGTGTACAGAGTAGCGGGTCACAGGCTCGCTGGCATTGTTTGGCCTCAGTGATGTGGAATTTTTAAAGCCAGAATTTGGGTGGAACTATAAAAACAGAGGATGTAATTTTCTACTTACAAATCATCATCATTTCAATATATTGATTTTCATAGGATGTATTAGGTTCCTCTATACATTTGATAGGCACCAGTTGCTTGTTTCTTGTTGCAGAAATGTTTATTTATATAGTTTACAAAAACACCTGATGTTTAGTTGTTCATTGAAAACAAAAATAAACATTAAAGAGATCAGTGGTTCTGATTTACATTGATGATATAATTTTTTGGAGTTTCAGTGGGTAGCACCTAACATCAATGTGCCATAGATCTTGGGCTTGGAAACAGAACACAAGTGCTTAGATATCTTGGGCGAAGCCCATTCTGTCTAACCTCAGTCTCCTCGTGGACTCTGAGTTACTTTTCGTTTTGAGATGAGATTAAGGGAGCAACCCCTAGGTATCAAAGCTATTTCCCTAGTCCCGTCATCCTGCGTGGGCTTACACTTTTCCTCTTTTTCTCTTTATAGCCAAAAAGACAAGAAGTAAAAACACCTGCGCTCTCAGAATGAAATTGGACACAGCCCAAGAACAAAAGGACCTGATGGTGGTAGAAGTTTCACTAGCACATCATTTAGCACTGACTGATCTGATTCATGTCTCATTGGACTTGTCCAGTTGATGAAGTTGATTCATATTGCATCATAGTTTGCTTTGTTTAAGCATCATATTAAAGTCAAGCTCTATTTTATGTTAAGTTATTTACAGCTGTAGGTTTTTTTGTGTTTAGCTATTTATACTCATTTCTCATAAGCTATGGTTTAGTGGAAAGTATAACATTGTATTTGGAGAAATAGAATTATATGGGTCTTCTTGCAAGTAGTAAGCTATTTTTAAAAAATCTATTTGACTTTCCTTTGTGTATATAATTTTGTTTCCTAAGTTGTTGTGATTGCCTTATAAGAGAGAAGAATGATTATAGAAGGGTAATTACTAAAAATAAAAGAACCAAAAAGTTACTTGTCAACCGAGTTGTATATTATTTATTAAGATGTGTATTGGAAATATTTAAAGGTAAAGAAAATATAAACATTGTATGGAAAGTTGTATTCTTCCCCGGCTGTTCCCTCTATCTTTGCCCTCATGGCCTTGGACTTGAGTCCATATGAATTGTAATGGAAGTTGTTCTTTTAAAAGTCAAAACCATCCACATAGAAAAATAGAAAGATCCTGTATTTCAGATCCATAGCCTAGTGTTTATTGATATAAATTCTTAGAACACTTTGTGACTATAGGGAGCTATTTAGAAAATACCTGGAAAAGTCAATCAGTTCATCAGTCCAGAATGCTAGGAATGGTCATTTCAGCATGGAAGCATATCTCTTCTTTAACATCATCCTGAGTCATCTGTAAGGGGTTTCCCAAAGGAAAATCACTCTCGAAAAGTGCTTAGAAACTGCTTGATTCTCCGACAAGAGGGGAGACTTCAAACATGTAAAAGTTAGAAAGTTCTTAGTTACAAGGTGAGAGGACCTTGAACCAATGTAGTTACCATCACAGTGCTCATGTACCAGAGCTCACGGAGTCTTCAGCTCCAGCTGGTCTGCCTCAGTTTCAAAAGGATCTGAAGGTTCACTGAGGCAGGAATACTCAGAGTAAGATGCATGATCCAGATGCACAGGTCCATAAAGCAAGGCAGAAGTAGCTCATCCGATGAAGAGCAAGATAATAAGTGGTTCACTATGCCCCAGAGACACCTCTGTGCGCAGAAACAGTAAACCTGAGTCATCGGGGAGAGTATGCTCGACATCCTGTTTATTTATTCAGCAAACGTAAATTTAGTGTCTATTAAGTGCCAGGCAGGGTGCCAAGTGCTAGAGAGATTAAGTGACTTAAGATGTAAATTACTCATGGATAATGAGGGTTAAGCAATGTGTTGAAGGCGGAGGATCAGGGTTTAGAGTATTACAACACATGATGGTAAGCACTGTCATAAATGAAGTCATGGGTACCATTGGGCATCATTAGCAAGAATTTCCCAAAGAAAAGAATATTCACTCAACCATATTAACAGCCCATGTCCCATGCTCTTGATGCATATGGAAGGCAGTTTCACAAATTTCAGCTGATTCTTGAGCTGACGTACGAAGGAGCACTTGGAAATATCAGGGAGCATGGTTTAGTTGTCACAATATCTGAAGGTGGGGTACTACAGGCATTCAGTGGGCAGGAGCCAGGGGTGCTAAACCATCTGGTATACACAGGATTGTTCTGCACAGTGAAGAATTGTGCCATCCAAAATGGGGCTCACACCACTGTTGAACAATGAAGCAAATGTGTGCAAGGGGTGGAGGTTGGGTGGAGCAGCTGCAGAGGAAGTGAAACTGTCACCTCAACTCAGAATAACAGTTTGAGTTTGGACATAGAAAAGCGAAGTCATAGGAAAGGAGAAGAGTCAGAATGGGAAGCAGAAGAAGCAGAGGCAGCTGCAAGGAGTGGGATGAGAACTGACGCAATGGCAGCAGACCACAGTAGAAGGAAAGATGCAGCAGAGATGAGCTGCAAATTCTCATCCTGGACATCCTTGCTGCCCCCCCCCCCCACCAGACAGCCTTGTTTGGAACAGCACAGCCAGAGACAGGCATTACTAGAGGATGGCAGATTCTGCTGACTGCCAGGAATCGTCACCAAGTAACCCTTGTAGATTTAGACAAGTTTTGCCTGCTTTCTGAAAGTGTCTGAATCTTTTAGGACCAAGAGTGCTAACAACTACTGGGTGAGTTTTGGAGGCTGAAGTCTCCAGGGCAGAATGCCAGTTTATTAATCAGCAATAGAAGGATTGAAGTGTCAAACACATGGGCAAAGACACATGGTAGATGGGAAGACCAAACCTCTTGAAAAATCACATACAAGTCACAAAGCTCATCTGTTCAGCTTAGGGCCAGAGTACTGGGCCTCATTCTGCAACTTGAATATATAATGCATTTGTCTCATTGGACTAATCATGGGTTAGTGATGCTGCTTTCAGTTTGATTTATTTTTCTTTTCTTTTTTTTTTTTTTTATTTTAAGGATAAACGGAGGGAAACATTAACAGACATACAACATTTTACAACATATCACAAGCACAATACAGACAATACAGAGTTACAAACAAAGTGGTAGGGAATTAACAAT